GTCTCTCTCACCAGCTCTAGCTTCATCGCCACCCCTACCGCTACCATCCCTGCCCCCACAACCTTCCTCTTTTACTAGGTATCCCTCTTCTCTGAATCTCTCTCTCCACACACACGCAGACAACACCCCCCATCTCTCTCCTTCTGCGAACCCCAAATAAAGCTCTCCCTCTTATGTGACCAACCCTCGCCCTTCACCTAATCTCACCTCCTCTACACAACCCAGCCCCGACAACCGCCCCCCTCCCCCAAGCTCTCACCTTTCTGTGCAAATCTCCCCTTCTGCGCAAACCCATCCGCTATACTTGCACACACACACCCACCCACCCACACCCCTCTCCACCGTAACACACCAACACCACTATAAATCCACTCCATGTCCCACCACTTGCATCCTCATCTTTGCTGGTGACTACCACAACCCCACTCCCATTCATCAAACCCACACACCACACAATGACCTACCAAGTGTTTGCTTGAATTCTTAAGAGAAGTTTGTGTAAATAGTTGACAAAATTTGGGTTACAACTTTCTTCAAAGGTGGAGAGGATTTAGAGTGACCTTGATTTGACGAAGGGTTGCCTTCCTAAAAGGCATCTTGGAAATGTTTTCGATGGCGGTGCAAAAGAAAAAATATTTTTTACGCTCTTCCTTTTTTTCCCTTTTCGTTACTTTGCATTTGGATTCCTTAATTTTTTACATTGATTCCACTAAAGAGAAATTGTATCATATTGAAATAAAAATATGAAAGAAGTACCACACTTTCTCTGTAAAATACCTAAATTATCAATTTCTCAATTTTTAAAATTTTTGTTGTTATTTAAAGTTTTGTTTCTTTATGATTGCAGGGGTCGTATAAATCGCAAGCAACACAATTATTGTAGTTTGGAGAATACTGAGGAAGACAACATTTTGTAGTTAAGACATCTTAGCATGACTGAAATTGTCAAGGAGTACTATTGCCAAGATTTTAGGTATGAGTTGGACATTGTTCAAATATGATATTTTGGGCATGTTGCATTAGTTGGTAAATGGTTGTATTAATGTAGGACTATGGAACTATGGTGAGTCCAATAGTTGGTTTGGGATGTGATTTCTTAAGAATATACAGACATTTACCAAGTACTAACCTTTGATGGTATCATTACAAAAACTATATACATAGGTTGATATTATTTTTGAGGGTCTATTTTTAGAGAAATTATGTGAATAAGAAATATTAGGAAAAAATTAAATGGGTTTATTGCATTATGGCCTTGAGCTGCTTATGTCCTTGTTGCAACAGAATATGGATTATGTTATTGGAATTTGGAATTAGGAATTGTCGTGTTTGGTTTGAATTATATAGTAGGCCCAAATTGTTTGAAAGTTGTGCTTATTACTTTAGATTCGATTTGATGTGAGTTTTCTAATTAGGTTTTATTTGATGCAAATCTATGTTTGGTTTGATTTAAATTTTGCTACAATTTTATTTTATTTGAATTTTGTGGGATATGTAATTAGGGATTTTGAGTTTTTTTATTAAGCTTTATTTGATGTGAAATTTCATGGTGTAAATTAAATAGATTGTTTTTGCTTGAATTTTTTGGGCATCATTTTGTTTGTACTTGGTTTTTCTATACTTGAATTAACCGATTAAAAAATAGACTATTTCAAAAGTCTCTTTCTCTCTCTCCTCTGTTGCATGGTGACATTTAGGTGAGATGAACATAATTTCCACTAAATATAGTTTATGGTAGTTAAGACAAGATGTTTGTTGTTTTGCTTTAATGATTTGAAATTTTACTCCCTTCTTTTTTTAGATAACGTCTATAGAAAAAAGGCAAAGTGAGTCTGCACTTTCGTCCACGATACAATCTCAAAAAACACTATAAAGTTCTTTCTGTATGTGTGGGTATGTGTGTGCGTTGGTCTTTTGTGACTAATACTTTTTATGGTAAAATGAAGAAAATTTTGGGATTTTCCTTTCCTCTTCTTTTCTAGCTGTATCTAATTTGTCTCATTTTTGTTTCTAGATTTATTTATTTACTGTGATTTTTTTTATTAAATTATTCTACGCAACCTAACCCCACCCAAAATGCCCATCCCCTCCTCTCCTCTCTGCTACACACTCACACCACACAAAACACACACTCATGCATACACACATAACACATTAGGCAAACACGCGCACACAAAATACTGAGTTTTTTAGATTGTTGAAATTTTGTGAATTTTGGTAGTTTATGGATGGTTACTTTTGTGAAATTTATTGTCAAGTGTTTTCTTTAAATTTGGTTATTGATGGTGGAATATAGTTTATGGATATTGGCTATTAATTTTGTGCCATGGATATTTGGGGAAACATGGGATCTCACACTCTCTCTTGATCACATGGGATCTCACTCTCTCTGTCTTTCTCTCTCTCGATCACATTTATGTATATAAATTGTAATGTAGTTTGTTTCACACAGCAGCTGGTGTTTATAGTTATTTTTGTTTCTCTGTATATTTTTTTTTGGTTGATACATGTAGTTTATATGCGGTATTGATTTTTCTGCTTTAGGTTTGTTGTAACCAGTTGTTCTATGGTGGTGTTGTTCATAGTTATATTTGTGCTCTTATTAAGCGGATTCTTGGTCTCTCTCCCTTCATTGGTGAATTTGGTTTGGCTATGATGTATGTACTTACTGTTTGTGATTTAGATTGCTTGGGGCAAGTGTATTTGGACCTTTTTGTATATTCATGAGGCTTATGCATTCACAATTTTTTTGCATATTCATGAGGCTTGACTATTTATGGACTGATTCGAACATTTATTAAAAGTTTTTGTATCAACAATTGCAATTTATTTTGCATTGTTGGAGGGTAATGAGACGTGGGTAGGCTTGGGTTACTATAGAAAGGCGTGGGTTTTACAATGTTTCCCAGTTGCTTGCTTCATGTGGTATACATAGATAGGTTAAAGACATTCACTTTAAATTGAACATGTGTTTTTGAGATGATTATATAAAGTTTTGGGTTTTGAGGTGAGTTTCTTTTGAAAAACTAATGAAGGTTAATTCTAAAGTTGGCTTTTAAAGTTCCTTTCTTTTTTATGCTTTAGTAAGTTTAATTAGTTGTTTTTTTACCTTGGGGTTTTTTTTTTATTTCCATGACAAATTTTGCATTTGCATGTTTATCAAACTGAGTTGTGTTTCTCTTACGCAGACCCCCCCTTTTCCCCCTCTTCCCTTCGGTGAAACTTGCCTACACTTTCTATAGAGGTATATATTCTTACTCTTTGATATGGTTTGTCAATGTGGGTTTTGAAATTAATTTCTTTGGTAGTTGAATCTGGTGAGTTTCTTTAAAATATTGGTTGCTACTAGGCCTCTATGTCGTTTTTTGCATTGTTGTTCTTCTTATTTCCCTGTGTTAAGATTTTGTTTTATTAATTTTGTTTCATTTTCATAGCAGTGGTATCAGCAATTGTGAAGAATGGTTCTAAGACAGGGTGAGGGGATGATCATGTTCTGAGGGTGAGTACTGAGGATAGACTTCTCAATTCGTTTGCTGCCATATGTCCACTTTTGTTTCTGTCCTTATATGCAGTGATTAGAAATGATTTGACAAAGTAATTCTAAGAACTATTTTTGCCTTAATCATATGCAACAGACTAAGATTTCAAGCCTAAGCAACAAAAAAATGAAATCTGAATTCATAGATTGGTTAAAAGAATAGGTCACTCACATCTTCCATGTCTTCTTTCCCCTGTTAGGTAACTACAGAATTGAATGTTCAACGTTTTGTTGGGGTTTGCTATATATGCTTTGAAGATGATTTTTGGCTAATTTTTTATTACAGATACACAACATTTTTACTTAGTGGTCCAGAATTTCTCAAGAATGACATTCGCATTACATCTGATCTTGATGCTCTTGGAGCTTTGGGTGATACTGGGTGGTATTGCACCAGGGCAATCTTATGGGCTAATGAATATGAATTGCCTAAAAGAGTAACAGCTTTGCCTGAGCCTGAATACAATGAAGCATGTGTGATTCTATCTTGCGGTGCTCTATTACGTTGGACAAATGGGAAAACAACAACCTTCTATTGCTCTTTCCTAACTAATTTGACCATGGACATAACATCTCTTGGAATTGGAACAAATGGATATCTGCGTGTTCATGATTTTGTTATTCCTTTTCAACAGAAAGGTGCACCATTTTATGAGGCCTCGAACTCGAGGTTTGCAAAACTCTCTATAGAGATTGAACCTGTACCAAGTGAGCATGTGATCGATACAGATCTTCCTTAAGAAGCCCTCATGGTGCTGGAGTGGGTTTTGAGCCTATTGAAGTGGTGCCTTGAATCATATGTGTCTAATGCTTGACATCTTTATTTGAATTGTAATGGTGTTTATTACAATGTTTGCCTTCAATTAGTAGTACTTTATGTTGTCGCCATTTTTTATTAGAATTTTTGTTTTTCATATAGGTAATACTTTGTTAATCATTTATGTAAATTGCGGATGTATTAAAGGATGCATTTTAGGCTTTCAATTTAATGTCGGTCCAAGTTTAATACTTGATTATTTCGTATTCACGATTAATATTCAGTGTTTGTTTATTTCTAGCGTATCTATGTTAAGTGTTTGATTATTTCTTTTTCAAGAACAATGTAAGTTTTTTTTTCTTTGAATTGCACAATTTCAAGTATGAATTATGGGGATAGTTTAGGCTTTTAGCTTAATACACGTCTAAGTTTAGTACTTGATTATTTTGTGCCTAAATTTAGTGCTCGATGTTTTTTGAATTGCACATAGTTATCCCTAGTTAAATATATGATTGAGTGAAACTAAATGGGATCCAAGTGGGTTTTGGGGGAAAAGGGTGAGTCAAAAGAGACAGGTATCTCTCAATCTACCCCNATATTGATCGAAAATGTGTATGAATAAATATTGGCTATACTTATGTGAATATAGCTGGATTGTGATTTGGTGATTTGTGAATCAATGATTGGTTGAGTTTGAATGTGTATTGAATGACAATGTGGTTTCTGTGATTATAATTGNCCTTATATATTTATGTTATATACATATATATATATGTGTGTGTGTGTGTGTGTGTGTGTGTGTGTGTTTGTGTGTGTTAGAGTGCGGATATTTAACGTAACTATTGGGAGAGAGGTAGAGGGAAGAAAAAAAGGTATAGAGAGAAAGAGAGTAGAAAGTGACGATCAAAGTTTTTCGGCAGTGAGTTTTAGCACTTCAGTTTGAAATCGACACGGAATGAAATTTTCTTTCTTCCGTTTTTGCATCAAAACCATTTCTTCTCGAAGAACTTAAAGAGAGTGACTTATTTCGGTTAGAGTTTCTTCAAATAATTATGCATTCTATTGTTTAAAACTTAGGAAGAAGTGTGCTTTGGTGTTGTAAATTCCGGTTGTGGGTATGGTTTTGGTTTATGGATTTTGTATAATTGGTGTTAATAGATATGGATTATCATGTATTTGGGGATTGTAATGGAGGAGTAGGTGTTTAAGTGTTGTGAGGTTGAGAGAATTAGGTAGAGGAGAAAGCAGGAATGAAGAACGGTTTTTGTCAGGGTTCTACCTGTAGCAAGTGGTGTTCCACCAGTAGAATGACATTTTGAGGTGTTCTATCGGTAGGACTTGTACTGGTAGAAACACAGAATTTCCACAATTTTGCTAGGGTACTTCTAATGTGATATCCATTCAACCTAAAACCTTCTATAAATATTCTAATGGGTTTACATTAATTTTTAGTTGGTTTTATTTATCTACAAATATATCATTAAATCTAAGGGTTTGGGTATGTTATAATAAATGGAAAGGGGTCTTGGGAAGGTATCGTGTTAAGCCCGATTAATCATTTATGCATGTATAGCATAATATTATGTGTTATAAATGATATTTATAAAATCTATGATGATGTAAGTGTGGTGTGGAGACGACGACGTTAGTGTCGGGTTCACCTAAGGTGACATAGGGAGACTGAGTTTGAGTATGGACTTGAACTCAAGGTGAAGTGTATTAATTCATATTGATCGAAAATGTGTATGAATAAATATTGGCTATACTTATGTGAATATAGCTGAATTGTGATTTGGTGATTTGTGAATCAATGATTGGTTGAGTTTGAATGTGTATTGAATGACAATGTGGTTTCTGTGATTTTAATTCNTGTGTGTGTGTTAGAGTGCGGATATTTAACGTAACTATTGGGAGAGAGGTAGAGGGAAGAAAAAAAGGTATAGAGAGAAAGAGAGTAGAAAGTGACGATCAAAGTTTTTCGGCAGTGAGTTTTAGCACTTCAGTTTGAAATCGACACGGAATGAAATTTTCTTTCTTCCGTTTTTGCATCAAAACCATTTCTTCTCGAAGAACTTAAAGAGAGTGACTTATTTCGGTTAGAGTTTCTTCAAATAATTATGCATTCTATTGTTTAAAACTTAGGAAGAAGTGTGCTTTGGTGTTGTAAATTCCGGTTGTGGGTATGGTTTTGGTTTATGGATTTTGTATAATTGGTGTTAATAGATATGGATTATCATGTATTTGGGGATTGTAATGGAGGAGTAGGTGTTTAAGTGTTGTGAGGTTGAGAGAATTAGGTAGAGGAGAAAGCAGGAATGAAGAACGGTTNGCACATGATTAATTACTCAGATTAATAGTTAATAGGTTAGAATTACTCACACACTATCTCTTTTCGGGGATGGGGTGTGACAATATATCTTCCATTAAAGCTATATATCTTTCACTAAGGCTATGTCCGCCACTAAGGTTATAAAATATCCGCCACTAAGGCTATATATCTGCCATTAAGGCTATATCTGTCATTTTACCTCCGTTTCTTCAAAACAATTATCTCTCCAAACTCGTCGAAACCCCCGAGTTAGAAGAACTGAAAGTTCTTAACTCTTTTCCTCCCCCACAAACAACCTCAAACCAAGAATTTAACATAGAATTATGAGATAAACAAAGAGAAAAGAGTTGGCTTTAGTTCAATAAGGCAAGGAAATCCTTCACTTGATGCCGATTCAGGGCTGGAAGCTAGAACTATTTCGAAACCCCCAGCCAAAATCCCAAACTCAGGTACCAGTTTTAAGAGAAACAAGGGAAAATCCCCACAATTCTCGAAGTTCCACCGAATTTCTTAAGCTAGGAAGACTTCAAAAAGTTACGAGTGTCCCTTAACCACTTTTTATTTACTTTATTCATGAATACCCCCCTTAATTTTCCAACAACTAATAAATTACATCCAAACATTTTGCTATCTATTAAATTCAACCCATAAATTATTATTTGATATTATACTTTACTTCTTATGATTCCATTATTTGTAATATTTACCCCATATATAATATTAACAAATTATACTTTAGCCCCTATAAAATGACATGCAATGCATGTTTGGATTTCACAATTCTTCCCCTCTTAAAAGAATTTCTTCCTCAAAATTAACTTCCCATGCCAAAACTTGTGANAATATTAACAAATTATACTTTAGCCCCTATAAAATGACATGCAATGCATGTTTGGATCTCACAATTCTTCCCCTCTTAAAAGAATTTCTTTCTCAAAATTAACTTCCCATGCCAAAACTTGTGCGGATGCTTTGTTCACATAAGCTCCTTGCTTCCCCATCTCTACCGGATGGCTCTGTCATAATACCAGAACCAATGAAATGGTCTTTGTGCACAAAACTTGTTCCTTATGATCCAAAATTTCAACTAGCTCCTCAACATAGATCAAGTCCTGTTTTAGCTCTATAGGTTTTGTAGACAACACATGAGAAGAATCAGATATTTGTTTTTGTAGCATCGACACATGGAATATAATATGCAGACAACCCATCCATCCCCAATATCAAATCAAAATCTCGAATATTAAGGAAAATCAAATCTATCAATAATTCTTGAGTACCCATTGTTACAACACAATCCCTTNATGCAGACAACCCATCCATCCCCAATATCAAATCAAAATCTCGAATATTAAGGAAAAATCAAATCTATCAATAATTCTTGAGTACCCATTGTTACAACACAATCCCTANATTAATAGTTAATAGGTTAGAATTACTCACACACTATCTCTTTTCGGGGATGGGGTGTGACAATATATCTTCCATTAAAGCTATATATCTTTCACTAAGGCTATGTCCGCCACTAAGGTTATAAAATATCCGCCACTAAGGCTATATATCTGTCATTAAGGTTATATCTGTCATTTTACCTCCGTTTCTTCAAAACAATTATCTCTCCAAACTCGTCGAAACCCCCGAGTTAGAAGAACTGAAAGTTCTTAACTCTTTTCCTCCCCCACAAACAACCTCAAACCAAGAATTTAACATAGAATTATGAGATAAACAAAGAGAAAAGAGTTGGCTTTAGTTCAATAAGGCAAGGAAATCCTTCACTTGATGCCGATTCAGGGCTGGAAGCTAGAACTATTTCGAAACCCCCAGCCAAAATCCCAAACTCAGGTACCAGTTTTAAGAGAAACAAGGGAAAATCCCCACAATTCTCGAAGTTCCACCGAATTTCTTAAGCTAGGAAGACTTCAAAAAGTTACGAGTGTCCCTTAACCACTTTTTATTTACTTTATTCATGAATACCCCCCTTAATTTTCCAACAACTAATAAATTACATCCAAACATTTTGCTATCTATTAAATTCAACCCATAAATTATTATTTGATATTATACTTTACTTCTTATGATTCCATTATTTGTAATATTTACCCCATATATAATATTAACAAATTATACTTTAGCCCCTATAAAATGACATGCAATGCATGTTTGGATCTCACAATTCTTCCCCTCTTAAAAGAATTTCTTTCTCAAAATTAACTTCCCATGCCAAAACTTGTGCGGATGCTTTGTTCACATAAGCTCCTTGCTTCCCCATCTCTACCGGATGGCTCTGTCATAATACCAGAACCAATGAAATGGTCTTTGTGCACAAAACTTGTTCCTTATGATCCAAAATTTCAACTAGCTCCTCAACATAGATCAAGTCCTGTTTTAGCTCTATAGGTTTTGTAGACAACACATGAGAAGAATCAGATATTTGTTTTTGTAGCATCGACACATGGAATATAATATGCAGACAACCCATCCATCCCCAATATCAAATCAAAATCTCGAATATTAAGGAAAATCAAATCTATCAATAATTCTTGAGTACCCATTGTTACAACACAATCCCTTTAAACAATATCTGGAAACACCACCTTGCCTTCTGGCATGGAAATATACACCCATTAGCTTAAAGATGTAGAGGGTTGGTCTTA